CAACTGTGTTTAAGCAGGTATGTGCAAAATCCATGTTTATGCTAAAAATATCAAATATTTTTACACTAGAAATTTCTCCTTTTCTGACTTTGATCCATCCAAACCACTTCAGATTAATTTTCCAAGTTTTGATAAGTCAAATAAGCTCCAAAAAGGTTTTCTTTTGCACAATATCCATTTTTTAATAAAATAATTGCTATTATAACTACTCTTTTTTTAACAGAAACAAACAGCTGGAATTATGCTTAGAAATTTATGTATTTATTTTTTTACTAGGGAGTAAGTAATGAAAACTTATTACACATTTTTACCTTTGAAATCAGAGCATGCACTCTAAGATCAGTTTTTTGTTTCCCTACCTTATGGTATTTCACTGTCAGGCTACGAGGAGCATCAGTGATTAATTGCCTAATATGAGCACTCCATTCTTTACTGGAGAGAGAATGTATAGATCCTCAGCGCTTATGCACAGAAAGATAAGGAAGAATCAGCCAGGAAGCTACAGTCCTGTGTGACTGCAACAAGCTGCATCTGTTAGTTTTATTAAGAAAAAAAGTTTGGGGGTGTTGTGTTATAGCTTGAGCAGCACTTAAGTGAAAATGCTGCTAGTCTTGCAGTTGAACCAAGGCTCTGCTGGTTTTTCATATAACGGTAGCAAGACAAGCACGACAAATAGATCAGCAACGTAACTTTGAAAATGTTATGTGCCCTCTTTTTCAAGTTTATGTGTTAAGTCCGAAAAATATTGAACAGGTGTAATGCCAATTCTTACACTGTGCTAATATCTCTTACACTGAAGAAAGCAGAATTTTAAGATATGTTATTTAACATTGTCTGTGGATGTTGTTTCTAACTTCATTAGTGACTCAAAGCACTAAGAAGGTATCTATTATATTAAAAGCTAGTATTCCTTCCCCTGACAATTTGCTTTAGTAAGAATCTCGTTTGGAAAATCTTCCCTACTCCCTGCCCTCTCCTGCACTTAAACAGCACTACTATCACCCTGCAAGTGAGAGGACCAGCTCCATAGTAGTTTGCAGTTCTTCAGAAGTGAACGAGATTTTCAAGTTGCCGCACAACAGCTATCAACACGCTTCCAGATATTTTTATCGAAATATTTGCAACCAAATTCCATACTGGCTTAAAAATGGGTATGACTTCTCTGATTTAATGGGGCTATGACTCATGTCAGGAACAGAGCTGCAACCCACTGCAACTATAAGGCTGCAAAATTAGAAGAAACTAAGAAATTATCTCTCTAATAGTTTCCTCAGGTAGGATTCTTTCCATGAGCAAAATCAGAGATCTAATATAGATTATAAAAGTAACAGTAATCCATGGTTCTTATCCACAACTTGGACCTACACGATTATCATACCAAGAATTATGAACGAGGCAAGGTTTGCTCAAGAAACAAAACACCACAACTCAATTTAAAAAAACCCTCAAGCGTCCGCATGGCAAACTATTTGGCCATTGAATATTAAACAGTTTCTCAGACCTAAGGGGCAAGAGAAACCATTCAATCACTGGAGAATTTGTATCCTCTGACAGAATTACTGCCCTACCTACACATCATTTAACATCTCACAAGCTATGGCAGTCTCTGGAAGAGCAGAAAGCCCCTTGGCTAGAAAGAATACCTGACAGTGATCCAAAACGCCTTCTAGTTGAATTGGCAATAGTCCCTGCAAATTAGTATTTTTAATAAAGTAAAACTTCATGTTGATCAAACTTTCAGAACCAATAAATAGATGTAAATTAAAAAACCCCTAACATACTAGGAACGTTACAAAGTCAGCATTAGTAACATCAAAACCAAACACAAAATCCGCTCTTACTTACGCATTTGCACTACTCCAAAGGAAGATAACAGATCACTCAAAGTGCACTGTATTTTAATTTGAAATATATGAATATGCTATTTATTACAGAGGCGGTGAGAACTGAAAACTAATAGACTCTTTCGTACAGAACTAAAACCGATGGGTCAGCTACAGCACAAGGCTACTCAGAATTGCACTTCTGCTTCTCGCTTGTGCTCCCGCTCAGCTTCTTGTTCTCGCTGGCTAATAGGTTGACACAAGGAAAAGCACAATTATTTTCCAGCCACAAGCTCCTGGATAAGCTCTGTGAATACACCTAACCATGCTCCGAGATGCCGCAGCAGTCAGAACGATCCTGCCACTGACACGCTTGAGCGGCCCTGAAACTTGACCCAACTGATGAAATACAACTAATTACTCTTAGTGGAGAAAGGGAACACAGTCCGGCGCTGCCGGGAGGGTTCCAGCTCCGACCGCTCGCCTGCAGGGAGGCCTGGGCAGGCGGGGAAATCCATTTCCAGGCAAGCTTGAAAGAGAAGGCTAGCGTAGAATTGATTTAAGCATTTCCTAGTCTGAATACAGCAACAGCTTCACGCAAGGATAAATAATCTTCAATATTAAATATAGTGAAAGCGAACCCGATGATCAGTGATGATCAGCATACAGTAGCATGAAATCTGCCTTAGCAGGTTAATTCAGCTGCCTGATGAAGTTTTCTGCTAATGAAGATGGAGCAGAACACTCTGACAGTTTCTTTAGAGCACAGTTACAAAAAACGAAACACATTTACATAATAAAAGAAAAACACCCTTGAATTTCCTTACAACAAAGTTCATTCCATTTCTTTCAAACTGATAAATTAATGCTTGTAAAATGAATGATGACTTCGATGCATATAAGATTTCCCTTGATACGAGCTGTTTAAAAGCTAACATTTTATTGAATGAAGTTTTGTATTAAACTACTTGTCATATTTCAGTCGGTTATGTTGATGAAAAATTGTATTTATGTACTATTCAAGTGGGAATACTTTTATATGGATGGAAAAAGACTTCCATATCCCTATTCTGCTTGGCTCTTGATTATTTTTTCCTGTTCTATAGAAAAGCAAAAGCAAATATTATTGTCATTCCTATTTTTTTTTCTACAGAGAAAGCAAAATTAGACCCTCTCATCTTTACAAGGTCAAAGTTGCCTCATTTTGCTATGTGTAGAAAACGAAGAACCATTTCCATTTGATTTATTCTGTTCCAATAAAATGAAAATGGCCTAGATGAAATGATAATGTAGGAGTTCAGTTGTGTGTTCCTTTCCTCCACCCACAACGACATGCTTTCTGAATATAAATAAGTGCAGATCTATTATCTTCCCTTTTATGCTCTTTATTGTAGCATCTTAATTTCAGATCTTACTGAACTCCCATCAGAAACTGAAAATGGCAAACATGGCAGAGTGAAAACAGCTATAAAGACTGTAAGAATATCTTACATATTTATAAGGGACCAGGAAAAGAAAGGAAATTAATCCACTGTATAGTTAATTACAGTTAATCTCAAGTACTAAAATATTCTCAAGTGGAATAGTTTGACACCATATTACAGACTGCATTGCAACCCCAAATCTCTCTCTCTCTCTCTGAGGTCTGAAGGTTTTTCTAAATAATACAAAAATATCTTCATTATTTGACATTTAAAGAAAGGAATATAAATCCCTGAGTAAGCCAAAGACAACTAATATGTATAGCCTCAGAAAACACACTCAAAAACAAGACTGATTTTAAGGCAGCTTCCAACCTCAGACAGAACACAAATAGAAAACTGATGTGTCACAGAAGAAGAAATCTAATTAACGGGTGGTTTTGCACTGACAATAGGCTTTGAACTTTACTTCTAAATGTCATTGCTTCCCTGCTTAATTTGCAAATCTTAGAAAGGTACTATGTCTACCGTTAGGACAACAGGGTCGACGTGCCCTTAAATTTAAATGGAAATATTAAGTACTTGTTGTCTAGTATGGTGTGCTTGTACACACTGTTGCAACAAGAAAAAAACCCCAAGAAAACAAAATCAGAAGCTGACAGAAAAGAAGCTTACTAGCCAACTATGGTAAGCTGGTATTTGTGTTTCCAGGTAAACAAAATTCATCAGTTTCTTCCACTGAGCTTTGAAGTCAAAGTGAGTATCTTACAACAGTATTATGTTGGTGGGACAGAATACTATTTACTTAAAAATTACAACTAGATTCAGATTTAATAACAATTTTCAATGAAAGCGGAGGAAAGTACATCCTCTCAAATGATATGCTATTTGTGGGCCTAAATTTTGAAGTCTGTAGACTCTTTAGGACATTGCCCATCTCCCTGCTTCCCCCTCTCCCTATATATATATATATATATGTATCTTCAAACACAAGCACTGAAAAAAAAAAAAGTACCTTCACAGTACAAATCCAATCTTCTTTAAGATCAGCTTGTATTTTTAAAATATAAAGTAGATATTTCTCTTACTCAGTTCGTTTCTTTATTGTTCAGTGTTCTGCTTGCACAAATTGATTTTATTCTTTTTTTCTTTTAAGTTATATTTGTATGATAAATTTGGATTATAACTAAAAATGAAAAAATTCTCAGTAGCCATTTCCTAATGCTGAATTACAATGCTCTTGTGGCGACGCGCTGAGAAAGAGGTCTGGTAGCAAACAGTGGTACTCTGAAGTTAGGAAAGAAGAGCAAGGATAGCTATTCTCTTCAGATCTGTAACACGCCAGGAAGAGAAACACTGGAAGCAGAGAGTAAGAATGAAACGGTCTCTAAGAATTCATGATCCCTCCCTTTACCCCAAATTCACAGATTTTCCTCATGAGACATCAGTGGATGCTCTAAGTAGCCTACTTACACAAACAAAACGTGCTATTTAGGTTATAACATTTCATGAAGTCAATCTTCACACAACTACTGTGTAGCACGTGTATTATATGCCAGGTCAGAACAGAAAAGCAGGTTTCCACCTTCCCTGCAAACACGCTTCAGGGACATCTTGGGGCAGAACAGGCCACTGATGCTTCTTGTTATCTAAACCCTTCACATTTTTTTCTGTACCGGGAGAGTTTCAAAATGCTGTCCTCTTCTAACAAATCTGTCACACACCCCCCAATCAATATCAATAGACTGTGATAAATTAAATACTGAAGTGAAACCAATCAGGGTATTTGCAAGTATGACGGAGCTTCAATACCAAGGATATTTCCCTCCGAGGCACTGCAGTTTGGCGGTGGCAATCTACGCTCTCGCCCGCTAGCAGGAGGACTCGGAAGATGACCAGCTGTCGTGCTCCGGCATGTGACGGGGTTTCGGTATGCTGAACAGAATGCTGTGTGATGGAAGTTATTTACAGAAGTAGTTTTTAATACCAAAAGTAGTATGCTCAGTATACAGTAAGAGTCCAAACACTTCTAAGCATTTCCCCCTTAAAGGCCAACACTGAAGTTAAAACGGAGCACATGTTAGCAGTTAAATGCTTTCTTCACAGGCCAAATCGGTAGTAGAGTTGTGGCTACAATACAGACTTCGATTGTCTAGTTCAGAAACAGACTCGAAAAAACCCCTCCAAAACAATAATTAAAAAAACCAAAACCCCAAACATTGAAAAAGCAGCAGTCAGGGGGCCCGTCTTGTTCAGAGTGCACCAGAGCAAAGAGGCTTTCTGGTCTGCAGTAGTGTTTTCGGCTGAGGGAAGATGGCAGGAGATCCCCTGTTCTTCTTCCAGGGCGGTGGCTTTGATGCTGTTACCAGCACTGTATTGCTCTGTTGCACAAAGCGCGTATAGCCCTTGCAGGACCAGCTCAGTTCAGGTGAGTAAGGTCCATCCTTACCAGGGCATACCTGTCCGTGACCTTTTCCTCTGCTTTTTACAAAGGCAATAGATAGGAAACACAAATAAACCTGCCAAAAGAAGAAAATAAGAAGAAAACCACAATTAAATGCAATTCTTTGTGCGGGCGCCGTGTTCCTTCAATGTACGTAGAGTATTCAGATGCAGCTTTCCATGTCTCAAGAGAATTTAGACAAGGTGTTTGGACAAGCAGAAAAAAAATATTAGCCTGTAACAGTCTCTTCGGTAACGTGTTAAGCTACGCTTTCTGTTTACTTTACAACTAATTCCCACTAACCCTACTCCCGTCTCTGTCAAATTAATTCCTGAACCGTGCTGTTTTGTATAAGGTACAAGCTTAAAACTTTTAAAAGCACTTTGGCAATCCCTAGATCTAAATCAAAGGCTAATTTAACTAAACTGGTTTTCAACCAGTTTCACATGCAATAGAGGCAGCATGTTATAGCTTTACTTTTTTTTTTTTTTTAATAATATTTATTTTTACAAACATCCTCATCTATTGTGAAGTAATACCAAATGTTTATTCTTGCCTGGGAAGGGAACTATTGATTCTTAAAAGTCTTTTGAGAGAAAGGAAGCTGTAAAAGGAAAAGTAAATAAATAAATCAGATTTATTCAAGTGAAAAATAGTTTGTCTTAAGAGGTACTCTTTCAAACCCAAATGAGAAGCATCTCCCCCTTTCTCTTGCCACCAGCTGACAGAAATGGTGAAAGATTTCCTTTTCAGACACCACTACAGTAACAACATATAAAAAAGACTGTTGCAGTCACCAGGGTCCTTGCTTTGCTCAATAGCCTTGTAAATGGTGTAAAATGGTATTCAGCTATGATACCGAGATTACTTTAACAGTTGTGTTGGCAGTAAATATTGGTATAATTACCTCAACCCCAAAACTTTCCTATCAATACTTAATGTTTTTGGAACTGCTTATACTGCTCTTCTTGATCGTACCTTATCCGGCCATACCTTGGATGGGACTTCAGTGGCATACTGGGTATTACTGCAATTACTGCTGTTGTATTACTGCAAAACCCTCTTAATTTTTAATATAGGGAAAGAATGGTTTTTTTCCCAGCATAGATTATACCAGATTGCTGAGCAAAATAAGCTTTACTGGCACTGAGAAGTCTTTATCGCCTATATTTTTGGCATAAAAATGCCACTAAAAAGAATAAATATTTAAGATAGATATATCTACATATATAGATATCTATCTTCAGTGAATCCAACTCAGAATATTGACACAGGAAAAAGATACTTATTCTTAGCCTAAATACTGAAATTAATAGCAATATTCCTTATTTGGCCAGATGTAGTCTAGAAAAGCTGTCATGGTATTTTGGTTATATACAATCTTATTAATGTAACTATCCTGGTATATTTTGGCTTTATTGTATCAAAATAAAGGTGCCACATTTCAACACGCCTCAGGACTGGGCCTACGCTGCAAATTTTCAATGGAGTAAGTAGTTTGGTGACGAGTTGTGAAGCAGCATTATCCTCGATTGACGTATTACTGCCAACATAAATAGTGGATATGCACTTAGATGAGCAAAATTACACATTTATCATTATGGCTTATTTCATTTCTGCGGGAGAATTCAGTTAAGCCAGGCAAAGAGCAGAGTTGCTAGAATAACTACATCCACATTAATACAACCACGTTAACAGAGCTTTGATACTGTACCGAACTCGTCACAGTACCGTTTTTTGTGATGGAATCCAATCTGGCAGCCTATGCACTGAATCAGATTTTGAGATTGACTCATCCCAATTTGCTGCTTTGTTGTTGCTGTTGTTGCACCTTCAAGCTGGAGAGCTCTTGGGACTATGCCTAGTGCCCCAAAAATCTTGTCATGCACATGGCCATGATCTTAGAATTGTGATCCACTGGGGGGGTGATTAAAGGGAGGGTCCAAGTCAGCCAGGCCCCAAGACTACGTTTAAATGACTCTGGCCTTTTTACTAGTTTAACTATACTAGTTAAAGATTTTGGTTCAGAAAACCAAATAATTGGGGGAAAAAAACCCGATAAAGCTAATAGGCACAAAATGCAAGTAAGAAAAAAAAAAATCCTAAAGGCAATTTTTTTCTAAAAAAAGTCATGTGCTTTATACTAAAACAATATCTATGAAATCCGTACTTTGTGTCCATCTCTTTGAGATGAAAATACTGAGATGTCATACAGAAAGTCACTGCAAAATCAGAATCAAGACTCACTCACATACGTAACTCTTACCTATTACAACAGCTATGGCTCCCAGTGCCAGTCCCAGAACCAGTATTAGGGGTGTAATGAGTAGTTTTCCAGCTGAAATGCAAAATTCATTATACAGTTCAAAGTAGGCACTTTATTTTTCCCTTTCCAACCATCCATAAATATTTCGATATTGGCCTCCCAAAGGCTGGTTCATTTTTTTAATGCTTTACTAGGATTCATATTTGTAAATCCATCCTATAAATCCAGCTAGGAGCTATCGGCACTCAGCCAGCTCACTGCACACATTTCTCGCTGCCCTCTTCACCCACCACAACTCTCCAAGCACAGCTCATTTTGTATATTAACAGTTAGCTTGCATTTACTTCTGTTTCCGTTCCGAAATCCCTCAGGCATCGACGGGAACGTGATAGCTATGAAGCTACTATCATTGGGCTCCCCCAGAATCCTACTGTACAGCGACCAGCCTGGAAAGATGCCGAGCAAACCAGCATCTTTGAGAGTTTAGGTTAGCTCAAGGCGATGAGACCATCACCTCTAAATATGCTGCCGCTTGCTTTAAAAGGCTACGGTGAAGTCCTCGTGTACAGTTGTGATTTAGGTCTAAATCAAACCACAGCCAACTCTATTTGGGATAAACATTGAAAAGGATATGTTGCTGCTCTTAGATGAGTAAGGCAGCAAGGTCGTGCGGCACACCGGCTAGAGCATAAGAACAAACAAACATGCTCATATTCTTTTTTTCTGTTGAGTTCATGAGCTGTAGAAACGCACAGAGGGAAGGCAGGGTTCCTTCTGAAACACCTAAGCTGAAACCAAACTTTGAAACCAAATTATCTTTCTTGCATTGCATGCTTTCGACTGAACGGCAGAATCTCCCCAGCTGTGCTGGCTGAGTGGTTGGACCAAAGATGTCACTTGTCCCAGCTGTTTGAAAACACAGCAGGGCAGGCATTTTTACCGATACAGCAGCAGTCTGACCAGGGATTTGAAATTAAGCAATTCTCTAAGTTAAGCATGTGTTTGAAAGATCACCTCTAGAAAGGGAGGAAAAGTGAGTTTGTTACCTCCCTCTTCCCTGCCCTTCCCTCTCAAGTCACTTGGATCTGATTTCAGTAAATGGATTACTTCATGCAATAATGATGTAAGCCTCTCCATAACCTGAGCCACTAATTTGGGCAGTCTGAAGGAAAAATGAGATATTTTGGAAATCTTTACACCAGTTAGATGAATTGGTCCTTTTCATGCTCTGTTTTGATAGCTTTTAAATTTCATAGGAGTGTTGTGGGTGCAAAACATTAATTCCTAGAAGAAAAAAATTGGCAAATATTATTGTTATTACTCTAGTTGCTAGGCATCCTAATGGTAGACCTTCTTGGGACTCCACTGTGCTGCATTCTACACACACAGAAGTTGTGAAATAAATTACTCAAGTGTAGACAGGAGAAGGAATGTGGAGTGATGGGAAACCTCAAGAAAACTCAAAAAAATGAACGATTAAAAACATTTAAAAATATTACCAGAGCCTTTAACAATTTCAAAGCAAAGCTTATAAGATTGTTTTAAGGTATGAACTCTCTTTATTAATAACCGTGTAATTAGAGTGTTAGAAAATTATGACATTTGGTACTAAAATTATTAAAAACTTAAACCACTGAACTGGGACTAAGTACACAGAAACAGAGTCTGCAGAAAAGGCTAAGCTAGCTTCTGACTAGAGTAATTTCTTTGCAGACACAAAGAATGGTTCCTAAGCTAATTCAGTTTAAGAACTTGTTTACTTACATTTGACAAACTAACTCAGAGCTGAAATAAAGCATGAGTGTCTTTTTTTTTCTGCCTGTGAATATGAAGTTATGAGTATTGTGTAGTTCCAAGAACTTATAGGATAAAATGACCTTTCATTGTCATGGGACAGTATCTTCTTCTGGTTATCAATGCATTCTTTCTAAAGGTTAAACTTTAAAAACAAAACAGAAAACCTTTTCTCCATATATATCTACCACATTTAAATTCTTTATCTTTCTTTACTTTTGTGAACTAAAATTAAGGAACAAGTTAACATGAGGTGAGCAAGACTTGCACAAGTTACCATCAGTAAGAGCACAAATCAGCAATCACTGCAAAGCAGCAGATATATACCTTTTACCCCATTTTTATCAGCATTGACTGCAACAAGTATAAAATGCCCCATTTTATACATCTGAATTGAACATTACTTTATATCCAATTCCAGTCCTATACACATCGTTTTGTCATAGTGTGAAGCATTATGAGGCTCTTAACCATAGAATTGTGACACACCAAGAAATGCTGCTGAGACTGAGGACGTTTACTGCAGGCACTAAACTTCCAAAGATCCACTGCCCTATGTCCGTCAGCTCCGAGACTGCTAGCAGAGAGCAAATGTAAAACTCGCCTCAGAGCTGAATAAAATCTTGGGTCATTAGTCCATGTGGTGAACTCAGCAGTAGGTTATGATAGCCAGCCTGGTAATATTCAAAGCTAGTTTTTAAGGATAACTTAAAAAGAAATGGTTGTAAATAGAACAAGCCTCAAAGGGAACATTTTTACAATTCTACTCAAATTGATGGTAAACAATTTCTCTACTGGGTTACTCAGCATGAAGATTTAGACATCTGTGGTAATGTAATAACTGTATTTGCAGATGTCTCAGAGGGGTTGCATTACTTGTGATATAGAGAACAATATCTTTCGGCAAAATGAGGAAACGTTTAGGGAAACATGAGGGAATATTTTTCTCTTGCATAACTTTGGGTTTGGTTGCAGGTTTTAGGGTAATATATATATAACCCTATAAATCCTTAGAGAATTCTTTGCCATGTAAAAAATTAATATATTAGTTATAGAAAACAAATTTAATCACTAACATAAAAGAAAGTTTTGCCTTCCGAGTCTAAATATCATTGTATGTGTCCTGGTTTCAGCTGGGATAGAGTTCATTTTCTTTCTAGCAGCTAGTACAACATTTTGAGTTCAGGATGAGAAGAATGTTGATAACACACTGATGTTTTCAGTTGTTGCTAAGTAGTCAAGGATTTTCAGCTTCTCATGCCCAGCCAGCAAGAAGGCTGGAGGGGCACAAGAAGTTGGCACAGGACACAGCCAGGGCACCTGACCCAAACTGGCCAACGGGGTATTCCATACCATGGGACGTCATGCCCAGTATATAAACTGGGGGGAGCTGGCCTGGGGGATCACTGCTCGGGAACTAACTGGGCATCGGTCAGCAAGTGGCGAGCAATTGCATTGTGCATCACTTGTCTTGTATATTCCAATTCTTTTATTATTATTGTCATTTTATTATTGTTATTATTATCATTATTAGTTTCTTCCTTTCTGTTTTATTAAACTGTTCTTATCTCAACCCATGCATTTTACCTTTTTCCTTCCGATTCCTTCCCCCATCCCACTGGGTGAGGGAAAAGTGAGTGAGCGGCTGCGTGGTGCTTAGTTACTGCTGGGGTTAAACCACGACAATATTTTTAAGTAACAGAGCCACTAAAAGCATCTACCTAGAGATCACGACAGTCACATCTCTGTAGATTTAAATTCTAATAGAAGTCTGCATCTGTTTTAGAAGATGCATCCCATCAAGTATATACAGGCGACTTCTTACAAATCAGGCTGCCTTAAATGATAAAGTTGCTAATGAAGGTTGGATCCTAGAAATACAAGTTTCCTTCTGCAGTGCTCAAAGCCATGCATACATAAAGTGAACTGTGCACTCTGTCCTGGGGCAGGAGAACATGTCAGTCAGATCTGAAAACATGCTGCTTTCAGATTTACCTATCTGAAATGCTGTGTACCAGCCAAAACACTTTATTTGCTTTAACGGCATCATCATGTGTTGTGTCCTGTTACATACCCATGAAGTACCTAGCAACTGATTTTGAATATAATTCATCCAGCTGAATTCAGGTGGTACTTAAGTGGCATCTTAAGTACACGTAAGATAGCTGAACATGTTCTTCCTTGCTGTGCAATTCACCGCTAACTCCAGTTATAACCAAACTTTCTGCCTTCAACAACTTAGCCAAATAATTACTATGAGAATGAAATCTCTAAGTCTGCTGGGACTGAAGGTTAAAAGCAATTTCACCTTACTGTACTGGTCACAGGACAAAGTTTCTCTAAAAAATCCGCTGGCTAAAGAAGGGAGAGAAATGTCAAATTCAGAGACCAATTCTGCTCCCAGGTTTTCTTCTCCCTGAGACTTCTATTACCTTTACAAAACCACTGGTTTACGAAGAAAATTATGTTTAAATTTATGCTGCCATAAATGCTTTTCCCTTATTTTTATTACAGAACTGTTTGTGACTGTAGGCACAAACACTTGCTTCTCAACAGAAACCATGGTAGCATGCCAGCCTGCCATGAAGTGTTCTTTCCTTTCTACACACCCCACCCACCCAGATTTGGTAGAAACAAGCCAAAAAACCTTCACTGCACAAGGCTACAAAATCATCGCACTTACTTAAAAAAGTATTTCTTCCCCAGAGCACGAAAGTAAAAAAAAGTCACAGAAGAAAATGTATCTAGCAACACCCACTGAGGAGATAATGTCCTCTCAATTTCCACTACTTAGATAACTAGCAAAGACATTTTACTACAGGAAATCCAACCTTTATTTCTTCCTACATGTTCCTAAAAGCATAGTCTCTAAATTTTAATGTCCTATCTCTCTGCTACCATCTCCTCTTTTTAACATCTTCTGCTGACTCTCAGAATGGAGCCAAAAGCCAGGCTTGTACAGTAACACCTACTGATGATAATGCTCCCCTCTTGCCTGGTAAAGCCTTAACGTATTTACATTTACAGTTCTAGCTACTGGGACATCTCTGAGCCGAGGTGTGATCCCTAACTGGAATGAAACATTTCTTGGTTTTCAACTTGATCTTTTAAGAAGGAAGCTTAAAAAAGGAAAAAAAAATCATGGCAAAGAAGAATCTGATAGACTATAAAAGAAAAATATGAGAAGGTAAGCAAGCTATTATTATTTACTCGATTCCATGATAACAGAAGTAACCAAGGAAATTATCAGGAATCAATCAATTAAAAAAAAAAAAAGGCAGAGAAATATTTCTCCACATAACACATAGTGAAATCCTACAGCCCCTACCAGAGATGTTGTGGAAGCCAAAACTTAAGGATACATCTATTGAGAGTTATTAAGCAAAGGTTCAGATACAAACCTTAACTAGGAAATGTCTACAGCAATGATTACTGGAAATAGGCAGTGAGATCTTATTTTTAATTGACTGCTGTTGGGGACAAGTCACCAGACAGACCTTTACACTCGCCCAATTAACAGGCAGAGATGAATTCTGCTGAAGTTTTACAAAGACAGCTGATCATGCCAAATTTCCACCATTCAAGATGGCAGAATCCACAAACTGAACTGACACTGCATCACAGTTAGAGATTATACTGTCTCAAAAGAAAAATGTAAGGAGACATAATCTTACAACAATATAATGCCTTCTTAAAAAAAACGTGTGCACATCCACACATGCACTTGTGTGAAAAAAGTACAAAAATCCTAGACTGGCTCACATATGCCCATCACAGCCAAAATCTAATCCAATGCAGGAAGAGCAGCGAGCTGAATTCCTGAATTCTAATCTGATGTAAATTGTTGAAACTTTTATTTTTTTTATTTTCACGTGTGAGTTCTGTTAGGGCTCTGGAGTGTTTTGGTAGTTATTCGTAAAGCATATCAGGATCAATATTAAAATTTAGAGCTCTGGAGACGACAGGGATTTCAGGTCATGAGTATCAACGCAGAATTCTTTGAATCATTGTCAACTTGCGTGTTAACAAGCTATTGTAAAAATGAGGGCAATTACTACATGTGCTGGCAGGTTCAGCTAGCTCTGCCTCTATTCAAATGATGACCAGTCCTGTGAGAAATAGCACCGTGTGACAGAGATAGTCCTGGAGAGAAGTTTTTAACAGAAAACCCTATGAGAAATTTAAGCTGAGGCTTTGAGCTTTGCTAATCTTTCTTGGTTCACTAATTAAGGCAAACCACAAGTACACTAGCAAACAGGAAATGAAAGTAAAATGTCTTATACCTTCTCTATGCATGTTATTTATAACTATGAACATACACATCTTCACCACTGAACTTTAACTCATATAGGCTCTTCCAAATTTCTTTACTGCCTCCAAGTCGCTGTTTGCAAATAAACTAATTTTCTTTCTTACTAGTAGAAGCTGTTTCTTTTTAAAAGGAAAAGGTTCTGTATTATTGTTTCCTAAAACAACAAACAGGGAAAATAGAAAATAATTTTAATAGTAGTTACACACATGCAGTACATGCACTTGTATTTTGGACTTTGTGTGTGGCATTAAAACATGCCAACTGCATATTTAGATACCTCACATGGAAACCATTACAAAAAAAAAAGAAGACAATAATAATAATAATAATGTTATTTTTTTGCAGATCTATGTCATGATAAAACTGACCTATTTTATATTTGTATCTCCGTTGTACATAGAAGGCTTAATGTTGGAATAAGGTTACCCATGATTCTGCATGTGAGCAGCACAAACTTGGTAAAGTCTCTGAGCACAGTCCCTTGCTATCATAGATGCTAATTCCATCAAATGTACCAAGATGCATTTTAAAACAGCTTACATTGTTTGCCATTGTGGCTTTTACTAAAAGCTCTTCTGAAACCCTACTAAGCGCTTTGAAATGGTTCTTGAATTTTAAGCCTAAATTTATTCATGAACAGTTAATACTCATGTGCTTTAGTGCCAGCATTGTCTTTAATCTTCTCACGTGCTGGAATTTATCTCTACAAAATGTATCAGGAGTAGGCACATCTAATCATTCTGAATTTTCATCCACTTTACTATTTATTTCTGTATCTTTAGTTCACCTCTCTCAAAGCTTGTTCTAAAGCCTTGCAAGTTCCTGAGGTCAAAGTAATGGTCCTGGATGACTTACCGTCATTTGTTAAACAAGCATTCCAGGTTTGTGAGTCTCCCACAACTTTGCAGAGCAGCAAGATCGGCATTCTTTTTTAGTTTGTGTGCCAACTCTTCTGTTATTCTAAAATGGAAATCACCTAGTTTTCTTACTGGAACATGTTTGGCTCAGGAGTATTGTTTTCACCGCAGGTCTGCTGACTTCTATTTCCACACATTCACTCTCTTACCTTTTACCTCTATATTCAACATCACCAATTGATTAAGCTCAAAGCATTTCCTCATCCTAGGTGAATTCCAAGTCATCTTCAATTTCTATGCCTTAATTCAAAGTACAAAAGTCATATTTTCCTTAGTAGGCCCCCAGTTTTCAACAGTTAATACTCATGCTGTAAACTCACTATAGTGACTGAACTTAATGTATATGTAAGATACCACATAAGGTAATAATCTACTTTGTTACCTATTTTTTTTGTGCTTCTATAGGTTGAGACAGGTATACATCTGGGTCAATAGCAAATTAGAAGTGCCTTTTTTGTTTTTTTTAAACAAAAAAAGTCAAGCTTTTGGCATCATATTCCTGTGAGAGAAATTAACGTATATAGTTGTATTTTGTTTTAAGCTGGATTTTACCTGAACCAAAGCTAACAGTTAAAAGATAAGTGTCCTCCTATTTAAATGGGCAAACCTGAGTGATTTGGTTTTTCAAACCCAGATCAGGTTCAAATCCAAACACTTTGTTCAAATGGATCCTTGACACAGAGGTTCATTTAAAAAAGCTTCCTGCTCTGATCCACTTCTATATGCTTTTAGAATAACAATCACAGCCAGTAACATGCATATTGGCAGTATTTTTCCAGTATGCTTACATATTATTAAAAAAGGTTAGGCAACAGAAGCTATCAGAAGAGGACACAATACTTATTCATGCACAGTGCATTGAAAAAGGGAGCACAAATGCTTTATATTTAAATATATTTAATAAACCACCTTCTACATAACTAAACAACAGGCTGCCCATCCAATACTTTAAACCCCTAGTTTTTATTTAACTGTTATTGATGCCCTCCACCCAAATCACCTCATTGTGCAGCTCTTCACAAAGAACATTTATCCACTCACCACAGACAGAGCCTCGCACTAATCTCCTTAAATGTGGTCTCTCGGGGAGGTAGCGGTATTTGCATCCAAAGATACTGAGGTTTGATGTGTGATCTCCGAAGAAGCGGAGCTGGCGGTATCTCTCCCCGCAGCGGTAACAGAAATTAGTGTTACACTGTGAACAGGTCATGTGGTCACACCCTTCTGTTCTCTGGATGTGGATCTGTATGAATGGAAGAAAAAAAAAGATTATTTTTTCCCCCCTCCGTAGGCACAGGAAAATAGGCACTAACCACCCAGTGCAGTCCGTGCATCAAATGAAAAGACACTGCAAGCAACGCCCTGCTTAACTAGGCATTTGCCTTAATTAATACTGCAGCTGTCCTAAGGCAATAATGGTTTTCTAAGGCATGGTTCAGAGCATCAAATACGAGTTATAGTTGTTTCCAGATCTCCATACATAATTTTCCATATAATCCTCCTTCTTTGTTTAAACACTCTTTGTACCAGATGAGAACGAGCAATCCCTACCCTCACTGAAAATTTGTTTTTATTACTGAAGCAGACACATTAGCACCAAACTTTATTTAAAATAAAAGCAGTACAGTAAATATAGTTAAGAACTCTGTTTGACCCTTCCACAGATGGGTTTCCTGCTTATGCCACCTGTGGCCCAACTCCCTTTCCCATTATCATCACGAATTGATTTGGCATTTTACAATAAACACCAGAAAGGCTCTGCTGTTAGAGTGAATGATTTGAAAAGTATGGACTTTTTTTTGTAAAAAAAAAAAAAAAAAAAAGATTCCACAAATCGTATAAAAGAATTACACCAAGCTGTCACAATGCCCGCAGTACAGCGTGAAGCTGGGCTGCCTAGGTTCTACATCCATCTTTATGCTGATTGCCTGCATAAATAGCTCCATTCCTGTATCTCCACCTACTCTCCTGCAAAACTGGTAGATTTACCTATTTGCACCGATTTGGTAAGGCTTCAGTTTTAGTTAATAGTTGCGAGCGTCTTAGGAGAGAGGGTAGTCCTGGGGCTGAGTATTTCACTAAATCAACTGTGATTACACAGCTACTGCTAAATCTTGCCAACTGAAAATACAGCTAAATGGGGTGGTAAACACACACTTTTCCTAGCTCACAAAATTGCTAAAGACTCCCCTGTCCCGAGACCGTGCTCCACAGTGGAATGGCAGATAAAATTACCTAATAATTGAGGTTGGAAGTGACCCTCGAAGTTCATCTATTTCAACCCCTAGCTCCAAGCTGGGCTAACTTCAAACTCACATGAGATTGCTCCAGGCCTCATCCAACTAGATTTTAAAAATTTCCAAGTACGGGTACGTCACAGTCTCTTTGAGCAACCTGTCCCATGCTTCACCACCGTCCCTGGGAATATTTTTTTCCCCTGACTTCCAACTGGAATTTTATTTGTTGAACCTTCCAGTGGATGAACAAATGCCTCCTGAAATTCTTACCCATATCTACATGTATTTATCTTGCAGGGAGGTACAGGTAAAGACAAGGCATCCCCGCTCAGTGGCCCTGCAAGTGCAGAGACGCCGAAATCTCAGCTACAACTGCAGCCTCTCACCTCGAGAGCGGCTTGTGACTCCTGGGGCATCCGACATTTTTGGGAGGGTCGAGGGGGTTTGTTCTCTGGTGCTGATCAGGGTTCATCTGGGACCTGAGAAACCTCGCTCACCCAAACAGCTACTGAAACTAGCACTTTAAACACATAACAAAGGGACATTTTCCACCAGCACTACTTCAGGTAGAAGATTCCAGGGTAGATGTAGTTAACAGTAGTTCCAGGTACACCTGCCAACTTCCCAGTGCCAACCGTAGTGATCTCAGAATTCCTATTTCTACACTTTCAAATGCTTCTTTTACACATAAGAGGGCAAAAGACATTCACAAAAGAAAGGATTGGGCCATAAAACATTACATTCTAGCGGGCAAGTATTCTACTTGCATTCATCCCGTAGAAGGGATGCAAACAGACTGACCAAGCAATTATCTCCCTCCACCCCGAGGGATCACCAACCTGCTGCATCCCAGGTTCCCATGCTTTCCAGAAGCACCTGAAAAAATACCATTGCTGATGAGCTTTATAAGCCACTTGACTTCAAAACTTTCACATTTAAGCACTGACCGCAAACAAAGTGGAAAGAAAAGTCTACCCAATATTTTAGCGAGTTAAACATAACTTCTGAAGTTATACACTATTTTCTTCTAAAAGGGATATCGTCAGTTTGACTTTTGCTTTTACTTTTCAGGTTTTATATGAAAAAATGTTGACCCTACTCACGGAGCCATAGTTTACTTAATTTAAATCCTAAGAGATTAACTTGAACTGAAATTAAGGAATTTCAATAGTGACTTAATGTATTTCAACAAATTAACTTTAAAATTCAATTCCAATTAGTTTTTCAGGGGACTGAAATTCAGACAGCAACTATAAAGAATTTTGCAATTTTAGAGGTACCTTTCCTTATCTGCTGATTCAGTGACATATCTCCATCTTCACAATGTAAATGAGGGAATTAGATCTTAAGACACTAATGAGAATTACCTGGTTGTTTTCTTTTCTTTTTGAATCAAGACTTTTGAATTCTCCTTTCTCTTCTCCAATTTACCAACCCAATCTATTAAGTTACCATCCAACCTAACTGAAAATCTGTACAAGCCTGGAGCCTATAAAAGCCCTAAATGCAAACCAAGACTACCTCGTATTTCAAAAATAAATTCATTTTCTTTGGTAGTAAGAACTTCAAGCTGCTGCTGGCAATAGCTTTATACATTCTACCATCAATACCTTTCAAATACGCACCTCTTGGACACTGCCTGCCATCCTTCTACCCACGCTTTCCTGGAAGCATCCCAGCTCCAGTTAGCCAGGCACCACTCCTGAATCACTTCTGAATCTACTTGTTTCTGCTCTAAATCCTCCAGACATACGTCCTCTTAAAACACAAAGAAGTTGATAGAGGATGTATTTGCTTACGGACACACTGCAACTACATGTACTTTATCTTTGCTTCTTCAAAAAGTAAAGTATTAAAAAACTTTTAGCGAATACTTATCTGCACATATATAACTGTCTTCAAAAGCTGCAAATTTGAAACACCTGGTTGTCCCTCCCTATATTTTTGGTTGCAAAAAACATTGCCTCTTTTGGTGAGGAGAGACTTCATTAAAAAAATCAAATAATAAAAAAAAACTCCAAACAACCTTCGGTGTGGGGCTTGGACTCCCTGCCATATGCACGCAGACTGACAACACCAGATGAGCTCCGCATGATTCGGTCGGGTCCTAAGACGTGACATCCCACCAAATCAACTTCAGCTCTGGTTCACACGGGCATGCCTCCCCTCCCCGCGGGATAATCCACTGACAGAGACGGATGACAAAGCCATAGCTCGGGAAAGCGATGGCTGACGGGTCAGATGCCACGCGAGCGCTCCTGCTCCCTCGGCGGGAACGCGCGGGGCTGGGAACGCGCGGGGCTGGGAACGCGGCTCCCTGTGGTTTGCTGCGGCCGTGCGGGGTTCGGAGGCGAGGTGGGAGCACGACTGCAAGCTCGCTTTCTGCCTCCGAGCTTTTCGGTCAGCGTTACTGGCTTCATCCCGCACCCAGAGCCTGCTCAAAGCCAGAGACGGACCCTCACCCTACGGGGAAAGGTCGAGTCATTTGGAAACCCACGAACGGCTCCCAGAACAAGAGGGGAGACAATTACGCACCGACGGCAAAGCACGCAGAGCTTAGAGTCTTAAGGAAACAACTGAAGTAGCACAGCGGCTATTTCAGACCCTCCCTTTACAGCCCCTCTGCATGTTACGTGCCCTCTCACAAAAATCTTCCAGGGAAATCACTTCCAAGAGATCTGAGGGCGAGAGTGGCCATTTCTCCTCCACTCTTTCCGAAGAAAACCTGGTGCACAGCTTTATCGCTTCACGTACAAGCAAGGACAAGGAGTCTCCTCCCTGCAGAGGATGAGAACTGATTTGCAGGCCACCTTCAAAAACTATGCCCCAAATTATTTGGTAACGCTCATATTAATCCAAACAGTGAATCTGCAGATAAGAAGTACATAGTCCTTGATTTGCATTGACATCCTTGTTTACTTAAATTTCTACTGCTGTTCAAAGCTTTCTAAGCTAGAGCTGCTGTTTGGTGTTTCCTCAGACAGTGTTGTTTTTCAAATCTGCGGTACGATAACACCAACATGAAGTACTTCCTTGGTTTGCTGTACTGTAAAACCGCTTGTGGGAAAAAGGCATCTTGCTGCCAACATGTTGTTGCAAGAAATTGTAAAAAAATAAACCTTAAAACAGTAGTGGGGAAAGACAAATAAGGTTATGGATTTTATGAAAAGGCAAGGATTTTATGTAGCAAATATGCACTCACTAGCCAGCTCCCTCTAGAACAAGACCAGCACTTTTTAGAAAAGCCTTGTTGAGAAAAAATAGTTTACTCTGAGTTTCTCAAAATAGTGTATAATAAATTTGGAAAAGGCTCTATTAAAAACAAAAAAATACATCAAAATTAATTTAAGATATAGTTTTAAAAAGTAGCATTTTGCAGTATTTCCATACTGACATATAGTCACAACACGAATCCACAATTATGTATTTTGACGTGTAATATTTTTATTTGCTTATGTAAGCATAGCTTAGAGAGACCAGGTAAATATAAGCTATTCCTATTAGATGCACTAAAGCTGTGTCCACCTACAGGAAAAAGTAATCAAGTTTAAGCTTATTTAACAGTGCCTGCTACTAGTCACATTACAAAGGATGATGTTCTTCCAAAGCACCTACCAAAAACACCGAAAAACTTGTCAATACTTGCCTAGGGATCTGCCTATAGACACCCTCCACCCCACCCCCCCCATCAGAGCGATCCCATTTTCTCGCCTGCACACCCAGACAAGATAATAACTGTGCATTCTACTTCTCCATGGTACGGCTACTTAAAGAAAGAGTCTGTGTGTATATTTGTCTGTGTGTATATATAATTATCTCCAGAAGTCATCTGTAAAATATGGTCACAGTTTACACTGTAATCAGTATCACACTTTGGAAGTTACCAGTCATTTTACAAGTTATCTCAGTAAAGAAATTCTACCTCTACTGAAGTTTCTACCTTTAATTTCCATTAGCTTCAGTTTTAGCGTAAAGATTGGATACTGATATCTTGACACAATTTAATCTTGACTTTTCCTCAATGTGTTTGTCATTTTTGGCTGCTGAAAATTTTTATCCAAAACATGAAGGAGGTTCTTTAAGTAGACTATATGCACATAGCAAAATAAAGTATGTTGTCACCTGAAATGTTGCCTTTGTGGATCCAGAACAAGGATAAATCAAATAGTATGTTACCAACTCTGTTTTCTGTCACTCTTTTCTCTATTTTATTTGGAAATATGACAGTCATCTGATTCAATCTGATTTTATATACAGGTTTGGGGAGGAGAGCTGGAGAGAGAGGCAGAGAAAGTATTAGCTCCAATGCCCCTGACTCCAAATTGCTAACTGTTGGTATGTTTATCCCCATGTGCCCAGACATCTATTAATGCTTTGATGAAGAATGCTGCATAAGATGTATTTTTTATAACTACTCAATAATCGATTCACAAAGAAAAAAGAAAAAGAACAGTACCACTAACTGCTGGCTAAGTAGTTCTTTTGATTACTTGCTAGTTATAGATTTGATTTAAAAACAAACAAACAATGTGCTGATATAAACATTTTGGAGGTTGTAGGCAGGAAGGATTTTTTTCACCTCTGAAGAAAAAGTATCAGGAGTGGGGGTAACAATACAGTTTATGAAAAGGTTGAACTGTCTCTTCAATATTCACTTCTAATACCACATTACCAGAAAGGAATTGTTAACAAAAGTTCTTTATCTGTGCTAGTTTCATAACTTTCCATACTGCCTCCCACTATGCAGGAGGTTTTATTTTCTTTTGTTTAAGAAAAGAAAGCTAAAGTCTTTTTGAAATTAATAGCCAAACTCATACAACTTTAGGCTTCAAAATGAGCGACTTAACCTGCCTAAGCTTCAAGCGTCCAGCCCTTCCTTTTAAAGATGGTGAGAACAGTTGTATATTTGGCATTTTAAATTTGAAAGTTATTAATGATAAACACGTTACTGTTAGCAGTTGTAGTTCTTTTCTCTTTCCAGCTAGCAGCCCTCTTCCCCCTGCTTCTCCACATTCATACTTTTTTGCTTGGTGCATTTTATTCTTCTTTTTTTGGACAACTTATTTCAGTAGTTACATCATTCGCATTGTCCTAAAATCTGAATCTGGACACAAGTCAAAGAATTAAAACCAAAACATACTACTTCTCACTCCAAAAGGAACAAAGTTTGTGAAAGGATTTTACTGTAAGACTTCCGAGAAACTGAACTTTTTTAGAACTGGCTCAAACCTATCAACTCTTGCCAAACAGCAAGCTGTTAAAACTCTGTTAAAAAGTCACGTGTGTGAGGGAGGAAGGGTAAACAACCAACTGCTGATTTCAGAGCTTTCCGAATTTTTCTTAGTGTTTTGAAATCTTTCAATTTCCAGCTATGGCATCACAGGCATTTCTTTCCCCAAGACCAAAATAAAATAATTAGTAAACTGAAACATTCTCTTATTTGCACAGGGTAAGGCTCAAAATGTGACAAAAGTGTACTTTGGACATTTAGAAGTAAATCTTCCCATTCAGTATTTATTTCCTACCAAATGTTCCAATTTCCTTACTTTGTCCTCTCCATGAAGTAGATGTGGAGCAACAGATTGGTTCAGATTAGGTATTCCCTTTCAAAAAAAAAAAGGACAGTCTCCCACCACCATGGTGCTCTCAAGGTTTTGACTTACTACTCTGTCAGTAGCTGGAAATAAGTGCTGTGAAAAAAAATAGCGAACAAACATAATGGCCACCCTCATTAAGGGCAGCCGGGGCAGGGGTGTGTGGGGCTGCTGCATCTCATTTGAGTAGTGGGAAATACTTCCTATCCTGGAAGAGATTAATCACATTTTTAGGGCGTGGGACTGCACTTTAGTGTTGACAATTAAACTAAAACATGAAAAAGGCTTGTGAAGAACTGACATTTAATTCTAAAAAACTTCTGGTTTTGCCAAACCTTAGTCTCCCTTAGTTAACTTGCTGATAGAGTACTTTCTGCCTTACTCAGAAATTGAATTCACCCAAGCTCTTTGGAAAACCTGACTTAGGGCATCATATTTCTCTATAGCTTTACATTTCTTTAAAGCTTTATTTTAGGAATAATTTATTCTGTAGCACACATTCATTATAAGCATCCATCAAAGCCCCCTCTTACGATTTCCGTAATGTTTCTTTTACATGCAGAGATTCTGCAGAATCAGTGTGGGAACCAGCAAGTGCAACATCTGACCTGTTTTTTCTCAATGGGTCATTGACAAGAACCTGCACAGCAAGCGTGAACTCCATTTCCAATGCTGAGCAGAAGCTACAAATGTTTACTTAAAATACATATTTAAACGGTTTGAAGCCACTACCTGCAAGCCAAGGGAGAGCAGCTCACCTTGCATTTTGGACACTTCTGGGCATTCCTCTGCCCGTGTTCGATTTCGTTGGCCCAGTGACGCAACAGCTTGTCTCCCTTCTTGTATTCTTTGCAGTTAACGCCTTCATGCCAGGGAGAGTGGCACTTGAAACACCAGACAAATTGGCAAGATGGACACTGGATCTGTACAAATGAGAAAACACCACACGTTTGCAAGCTGGGCGCTGACCCAACTGGAAAGCCCGTTTTAAAACCACTGCTCTTCCATTAAGAGAGTAGCTGCCCAGCAAAGGTCTAACATCTTTTGAAAGGTCCGTTTCAAAAAAGCAAGAAGTTACGGAAGCGAACTTGTTCTTTTTCTTTTTAAAAGAGAGAAAATACAGAACTAATTGCTAAAGCCAGGAAAGGCCCCGATCAAAGCACAAGTAGCTTGGTTTAAGCACAGGAGCTGCTTCCCGAATTTACCGTGTGGCTCAAATGCCAAAAGCCAAAATCCAGAAAGCATACTCAGTTGTCTCCAATAGATGCGAGATCACCTAAAAATCAGCAGCCAGTTTTCAGTGCGGTGGATCTCCGCCTTCTAGTTATAAACGTCACTGCCAAGGTTATTACCAGGGAGAACCTGGTCTTCTGAAGGGGCTCTACAGAGCCCAGAACGGGTTATGAAGCTTATATTAAAAATGGTCCTGGGAAAAAGGACCAAGAGCAAGGGTCTCAGTCAAGGGCCACGACTGCCTCCTGGAAGTCAGGCACCTCCTTTTGCTCTTGATTGTGGAAGGGCGAGCTGGGGCTGTGCCAAACAGCCCGCTTGCTACAGACCACACCTAACGGCAAAAGCCACAAGCCAAGCTCCTTAAATTGAGAAAGGATCTATTCTTCCCGCTCCCCGGGTTTTAAATCATTGCATCAAACAGGTACCATTGTCATCATGTCTTCCTCCAGAGCATGGCAATTTTTTTTGAAAAAAGCTACGGCAGCCGCTGCTTTTGTAGAAGTAATAAATAGAGGCACATTGCAGGTGCTTATCTGATGAAAGACAAGCCTCCGACCTGCATCATGACTGAGGAGAGCAAGAACTAGAAGCCACATTAGACACAGGCATATCTAGGCTCCTGCATCATCTTCAGTTTTGCTGTGTTTGGCCGCAAAACGTCTCAGCCTGGAAGACAGGAAAGCGCATCTCTCCAGCGACTGCTGAGCCCTGTCCACCAGCTCCAGCCGCGGCCCCTGCCTGGCACTGCCCTGGCTTTGTACCAGCTGATGGACGGGACCGAGGAATTCGACCAGCCAAAAAAAGGCTTTTTTTGGTTGTATCTGCATCCAGACCTCATTCACCACCGAACCACGGACGTGTCTGTGCTGGCCACGCGTGGCGTGGGGGTGCTGCTCGGGAAACTACCTCCTAGGGTGTAGTCACATGCAAAATTTCCCAAACCTATTTCCAAAGTCCTCATTCCCACTACTTGCTGTGGCCGCTGCTCAGACACATCGACTACTGACGTGCTGCCTTGGCTCCAGTTAGAGTCCAAAGTAGGCGCTCTGATCTCCCTTAAGTATTTTGCTGGGGGGCAGCCAAAATTATTATTTATATGTGCAATGCCTACATCCGTCACTACCAGCATGCTAATACAAAGCTGATCTGATCTCTGATGCATGACAGAGAAATGAATCCGTCTGCTACCCTTAACGCTACTCCCCAAGGTCTATACACAGAGATAGCATTTAGTTTTTTGCCTTTAATATTTCACATTAAAACCCTAATTGACACAATGGCTCAAGCTGAGCATTTTTATTACCCTAGCTAACCTATTTTTCAGTAGTTGTCTTTAACTTCACCTGTAGAGAGCAAATGTTTGGGGGTTTTTGTTGGGTTTTTTTGTTGTTTTTTTTTGACACTGCAGCAGTGTGTAACAGTCATAGTTTCATCTGTATAGTGATGTATCTGTCTGTGCAGCACTGTTTAACCAAGTATTTTACCTTTAATAGTGGACTGTATGGTGTGCTGCTCAACGCATCACTTCAGCTTACCTCTTTATGCCAATCCACATCTATAAATCAGCAAGTGCAAGCATGGGGAGTTAATGGTCAAGAGAATTAATAATTTTCTCACTACCCATAGTGAGTTTCCCCCTTGAGGATCCTTTGCCTGGGCATAAGGCTAAGTGCAAAGAAGGGAAGCAGCATCAAGAAATTGTCACATTTTCTCCTTACGCAACACATTAACATTTTAGTCAGTTACCATCTACTAGTCATTATCCTTGTAAAAAAAAAAAAAAATCATGCACGCATTTAAGTGTTAGCATACAAACAATCCCTTCCTATCAAGCAGACTCAAAGGCAGTGTAATATTAAAATGGATGAAATTCTGATACCCTGTACCCAGCACAAGTATGACTTACTGCTTTCTATAGCTACAAAGCGACATTTTTGCTAAGGCACACAGTAAGATACCTCACACAGAAGAAAAGTGCACTTATCACATGCTTCCCGTCACTGAAATAAGTTAGAGAAGACACAGGTAGGCAGCCCAAAACCAGGAAAGAACAACAAATGAAACTTGTTTGTAAGGGAACAACACATGAAAGCTCCAATGTGTGGATTACAAATTTGATTACTTTTTGCCTGAAAACACAGTAATGTCTAAGGCCAAGATAAGTATAAATCAAAAGCAATACAAAATACAACCGGTGCCTTTCCTCCGATTTCTGGTCTACTGGCCCAGATGCTAAACCAAGGGAAATACACTATCCTGCATCTCTGCTTCCCAGATGAATTCTCTTAATAAAAACAGCTTAACAAGAAAGAGGAAAATTCCCACTCTGAAGAACCTAAGGAATAAGGTATTTATTGCTACTAACCAAGCTAACACAGAACACTGATCTATGTTTCCACAATACTTTAGAAACCAATATGCACAAGATAGGTTAGATTACTAGCAACTATCCTGCCCATTATCTCCATATCTTTTACTTTTTTCCTTCTTCCCCCCGCCCCGAGCTTTGAATTTACGTTTTTCAATAAGGCATGTCACAGTGACCTACTACTGGGGAGACAGATTATAGCAAGCATTGCATTGTATTATTCAGTCTTTGTTATGCCTCAGCCAAAGATGGAGCTTGTAGCCACAATTAAGTGTTCTGCAACCTAAAAGCTTTTATCAGTTGCAGTATTTAGACATTTGAGATAAAACACAAATGTTAAAAAATACAAACCCAAACCAAGAGATCTGGGAAGCTGCAAGTTAAAGCTTCTTTCTTCAACAAAATGCCAACAATTTAAAATGTAACTTTTGTGGGTTTCGTTTTGTTTTGTCGGGGTTTTTTCTGTGAAAATCTGAGACAAATTCATTGCGGGCTCTATCCTTTTATTATAGCATGTATATAATTGCAAGAAATACAGCAGCCACCAGGATAAATATTTGGTCTTACACATGCACACTGACATTAGATGTTTCCAAATACATTACTTAGAAAGTACTGAAATACAGGATGAGGCTATAACCACACAAACTCTAAATAACATTCATTACCATGAATGGCCCTGACTAACTGAAGTAAATTAGTGGGAACTATCTACATTACCAGGTTTGGAGTTCCTAGCTTCCTCTTCCACCTGCCACCCCTGACAGCACCTTCCTCAAAACTGGACTGGTAAATAGTGTTTACGTTTTGAATGGGCCACTTGACTTCTCTGTTGTTCAATACTGTCTGAACATACGTTAAGCAGGCAAAGAAAACTATGTTCGTTTAAGTACTTATGAACTTTATTTTTCTTGGAACTAGTGGCTCCAAAACAAAAGCTTAAACCTATTCAAACTTGTATGCAGTGTGACACCGGTGTGCTTAAGAAATAGGAACACAACAGGGCAATTACAGCAGTCTTTCAGATTCTTATCCCATTCTTTCTCTGGTTTTCTGAAAGAAAAAAAAAGTCAAATGTGATCTGCTTTATGCTTCAGTATTAGTGCATGAAATGATCATAATGAGGACACAGAAATGCTATCCACATATAATTTAAAGCAGTAAAATAGAGTATAGTCCAGCAAAGCAGACAAACTATATCTGAAAAAATCCCAAACATTAATCTAGTATTTTTTCAAATATGTTTTTTTCCTCCCACAAACATTTTTTCCATTCATTTTATGACTTCCATTCCAGTCGATCAGAATTGAGAGAATGGATACATACACAAACTTCTATGCCATCTGGAGGTCAGTCTCCCTTGAAATAGAAAAGATTACACAACTTCTCATACTAACCCTTTTGGTTCTCAGCTTTCTGAAACACTGACCTTTGAGGCTAACATTTTCCATTTTCTTAGCTAGCCGCTTTACTGCGGACTATTCCAACTATCATTTTCCTCACCTCCCAGGAAAAGACCTTTCAAAATTGGTAGGTAACTTCAGCACAAAACACTGCTCAGTGTGACACGAAGATAGCAAAACTGACTGCACATTAAAACTATTCAGAGAGCCTGAAGCTGCAAAAAGCTTAGTGGGATCTTCTGCTGCTTAGTGGAATGCTGGCTATATAACAGGATGGCCAAATTAATCGTGCAACTAACTGATTACATGAATTACAATCTCTAGCTACAGCTACACAGTCACTTTATTCCAAAATAAATATGGGCTCCTGCCAAAACAGCTGCCACCTCCTCGTCACCAACCCGTCCCATCTCTTGTACCAGCTCAAAACAAGCAACAACAAAACAAACAAACCTTGTGTCCCATTGGAGCTGATCTTTGATCCAGCTCCCAGCGTGACACCAAAACATCAACACGAGCAAAAGCAAGCTGGCAGGAATGAACAGCTGAGAGCCAAGAGGGAGAGCACGGCAAAATCACCACGTCCGCAGCAGTTCAGGCTCAAGGCAGACTGAAGTGATGTGTAGCCACGAAGACACCTGCTACTCAAGGTTAAAATCTGATCCAAAAAGGAGAACCAATTGATACAAACTACACAGATCTGCTCCATCACAGCATCTTTGCAGGTACAGATTCCTACAAGTTGTACAGCAATGAGTTTCAGAAACTTGAGTAGTTCAAACAAAAGATACTTTATATAACAACTGCATTGAAAAAATGTTTACATTTCCAAAGCCAAGCACTCAAGCCCTTCTTTTATGTGATGTGCATCGCTTGACAGAAGAGAACAAGAAAACTTCATTATGAACCTCACAGGTTAATAAGGGCAGAAATAGAGTCCAAGAATCAAGAACTGCTTCTTCATGGCAGGTGGCAGGTCAAAGAACTAATATTAAAATAACAGGTGAAATCCAGGGCTTAGGGGAAAAAAAACAACACACACACACACACCAAAAAAACCCCACCCCAAACACCCTCACAGAACAAGCCAACATACTCACTCTTGTGAAACCCATATCTGTTCCATGCATAGGAACTGTACTACCAGCTTTTCAATTTTCGCCCATTTCCTTTGCACTTTGGCATAATAGCTTTGACCAAAAGTTTATTAGGATCTTGCCCACAACCAAGTCTTACACTCCCAGTTTAGGTCCTAAGAGAGGGGGCAGGGCTATTTCCTTACTTAAAGCTGGATCCATTTGTGATACAATTATTTGATATAGGAAACTAAATAACCACACTGCCGTACTGTGCTGTCTTAAGTGGCACTAGTGGGACAAGAAAGGTTTGGATCGAGAGCTTCCCTCTTCTTCCCGTCCACTCTCAACGTACACGCACCAGCTAACTTTCTAGGCTTAGCACACCAAGACTTTGATCTCAAAGATGAAAAACCGCAGCAGCAAACTGAACTGCTGGGCTTAGATCAGTTTAGCTGACATAAAACAGCTATAGTAAGGAAAATTAATCTATCCAATAACTTTACTACCTCTTTAAATTTAGAGTTTATTTATAATTTTAAATGGTGTATCAAATTTTAGGAATGCCATTAATAACATTTTTAAAGTATCTGTTCAAATGTACTCTTGGATTTTACAGTGTTTTCCTGTTGCTGTGTATAGGACAGCGAGGGTACTGGCACTGAGCCCTTTTGCGCAGCGATCCTACTAGTAGGCTTGTGCGTAGACTTTCCCCACACATGACTCAGTTCTTCTGAAGGCAGCACTTCCAGTGCTGGTGCAGAATTCATCTGGTGCAACTGCTGTTTATATTGCCTGCATGTGAATATGAGAGTCTCCCAGTCTCCGGTCGGATGTCTCCTATGCTATATGCAGAAGAAAATGAGTCCATACCCCCAAAGAGCTTATAATTCAAGGCACAGACAAGATACATACAAGCATCTAAGATAACTGAGATAATAATGGTCCACAGCTACGTGTGTATGTAATTACTCACACATACACAATTTCATATATAGTCTTCTGTTTAAACCTTATCCCTGCAGCAAAACTCTTCCTTGTGCTAAGCTTAAAATAAGTCACTAAAACTGCACCTATGCCAGAAAACAACACAGGTTCAGGGAGCAGGCTGAAGCCCTGGACTATGATCATCCATACTGTTTGCTAGCACTTTCCTAATTGTATTTCTGACCAGCATCAACTAGACATTCTTCCAGGCAACACCTGGCCACAGGTCAAAGGACACATTTTGCCAGAGACTGTTCCCAGGAGGAGACCTGAGCCCTGCAGATCAGAGCTACACATAATGCATCACCACAGGACCAGGGAACCGCTTCTATCTTGCACTATTTCATGCATCACACAGCCTCCCTCCCATTGCTTTACGATTATGATTTGTAGGGAAGCGGTGGGAACATTTTAATTATAGCATTTTAACTCGTAAAAGGGCACTGGTGGGCAGAATGACCCATTTTGTGCCTTGAGGAACATCCTCAGAGTTGGCATGCCCACGATACAAGAGCTGCACCACCTGCGACCCGCAGTGGTGGGACAGTAACAGCTTTTGGCACCTTAAGAGAGGCTGCTGCAGAAGCATTACAACCTCTGATCTACCCTGGACTCTACATCTGAGGGAATGCTAAGGGGATGGGTGAAGGAGAATGGCTGTGGGCAGACGGAATTTTACCTGCAGTTTTGAATTTCTCCACCTCCACTTAAGGTGCCAAAAATCTGAAAATGTTGAGTCCAACTGGCAGCGTGGCGTCTAATTCTTGCACTGCACAGATAACACGTAAGTAGCTCATAACTCAGAGTTAGCTTTACTGAGGTTTCAACTCCGACTCCACTGGATACACAACCTTCTACCTTTTAATCTCCATACTGGGCTGAATCTTATGCTGTGTAATTAGGGCTATCTAAACAGTCATCTAAACTCCTACTGAGGAGAACTGGTTTGTCCAGGAAAGGCCAGCTCAATCATGAAATTAACCACAACAAATCTAATAACGAGATGGAAAACTAACACAGAGCACGATGCTGCACACAGAACCGTCTTCTGGAACTAAGATGGACCTTCAGCAGCTCAAAGCTTCTTCCAGCTGTAATTTCTTGCTTTTTATCTTTGATTGAAATCACAGTATAAGCAAATCTTCTACTAAAAGAAATGCTGTAGAAGTGGTTTTTTCCTGTTCCTCAAGTTTTCTGTATTGCGAGTGATGAGACTACAGTAATGTATAACCTCTGGTAAGGGACTGAAGAGATCAAAACCAAGAAGCAGGACATACAACTCTATTTCTAAGGAAGAGGCAAGCCAACAGCCTAATACCATAAATGCCCAGAATTCATTTGCACAGAGTTTCAGGGAAAACTTATCTTTGCTAGATTTGTGTGTCTAAAATTACCAGTTACAGTGATAACTCCCTTTCCCCAGTCTCTTCTGATTGTGACCATATTGTTTGCATGTCAGACAGAAAACACTCTTTAAATTAAAATGTGTGTCAGGACAAAATTACACCACCTGCCAAAGAACTAAGGGCTGAAGTTCAACTGCTTGAACTGTTAGAAATCAATTAAGTAGTTAATCAGTGATATACTACAGATTCATATCCCTAATCACAGCTTGCACACAGCCCCAGTGATGCAAGAAAGCTCATTTAAAGCCCATCAAACGCTGTCCTACTTTTGCGGTGCCATCTAATCCACGGCCCTGGCAAGCGTGCTCACTTTGTATTTGTTCTCCAATTTGGCAGGGGTAGGAATGTGGCCTCTCCTCCGGAAGGTTGTAAAGTGCTTGCACTGAGGGCATGGCTTGGTGCTGGAGTCAATGCGGCTGAGTTCCAGGAAATATTTATACTTGATGATGTCGTCGTTGGGCAGGTTATAGAGGACAGTTGTTTCATCCAGGTGTTCACTGCACTCTGTGATCGGGCATTTTATATCCGCTTGTCCCAGCTGCACCTGCATATGAAAAAAAAACCCAGAAGAGCTGTATGACCTTTTGCTTGGAAAAGTTAAGCAGCATTTGTGAATTTTGTGAGGAAATTTAATTTCAAGTACTGTAACAATCCACAGACTATCAAGCATATCATCTTAAAATTATTTTGACTTAGTCCAAGCACACTGCAGTTTTTCCAGGGAGTATTTTCAAATCCAAACAGAAAAGCTAACTAGCCTTAGGAAAACTGCAATTATTAACCGGATAGTCTCAGTGTATGTACATGGCTACATACTCTGCGAAACCAAAACACAAGTCCTAACTAGTAGCACCCATCCAGAACTCCATGCTTTGGGTATAATGGTCAGCACTGCACTATCACAGCTCATACCGGCCGTGAAAAGCAGGCAACGGAAACACCTGTATACTATTCCACTGGAAAACGTGCTGGGAATCACAGCACAGAGAAATTAAAGTCAATATGCGATCATCAGACTCTAGCAGCTGACTCAGTGCTAGCCCTGAGCTGGTTCCTGCTCAACAAGCTCAGAAGCTCCTTACGTGCCACATACCGCATGCGCAGAAAGTGTTAGCCGAGCCTAGGGCTCACCAAGCTCATAAATTTCCCCAGAACTCAAGAGTTTAAAAACAACCCCCCAAAAAACCAAAACAGACACCTCCAAAAACCCTTAAAAAAAAAAAAAAAAAAGCAGCAAACAAAACACAGTTAAAAAGCAACTGAAACAAAACCAGGCACAGAAGCAAGCTCAAGGTTAACAGGGCTGAAACTTATGGATCTGATGAGCCCTGATGGTCCCAAGCTGATCCATCTGGTCAGATATCTGCAACGCATTTCCAGAGCTCCTGCATCAGAGAACAGCGCTGGACCCAGCTCTGCACCCTTCACGCTTGGCAGGCTCGAACGGCTCGGACTCCGTGCCAAAACGGCAGATCCGACTGGGTCTGGGAGCAGCAGAGTTGCATTTGCTTGGCACTGAGCCTGAGTTAATAAACCCTGCTGGATCCTGAGAGTCTGCAAGGACCCAGCTTGAGCACGTTTGTGTCTGCCTCAAGTAATCTTGAATGAATGAGTGTTGACTGTACAAGTGGAGCTGACCACCAGCCCAACTCCTTCCTTACTGAGTATCTCTGTGCAGAGAAGAAGGGGTTTAATGGTGCAACCGGCACCTCTTTTTAGGAATTACTGTTCCGAGGTTGGCAGGTTTCATCTCCCTAGGCTGCTTATTCTTTAACGTGCTGCGTTATGGGAATCGGCCAAACAATACGCTAAATATGATTAGGAACACCTCAGATTTGGATGCAGACCTCGCTGCTGCATGGTGGTACCAGAAGACATCAGACTCCACTAATGCAGTATTTAAGCTAAGAAAAGAGGAAAAAAACCCCAAACCAACACAACACATCCCTGTCGCTGTTGCCTCAGCAATGGAGCCATATGGGCTCTAACTGAATGGTAACTGATTTAGTCAGGAGCCAGAGGATTAGAAGAGTCATAACAAAACGGTATAAAACCCAAGGTTCGTACTGACTTCAAAAAAATCCCTATTGCACTACCTTTGTTCTCACAGCAACGGAGCTAAACCTACGCAGAACAAAGAGGTTAGGTATACGTCAGAGAGAGAAAATAAGGGTGAGGATGGTGGCAGCCCGTACCAGACCAGAGCGCAGTGGAGAACACCTCGGCAAGGAATCGCTGCCGCCGTGCCCCGAGCAGCCTCGGCTCCGGGTGCAGGTCAGGATGGAGGCAGAGCCCTACAGAGGAGAGGCAGCTCCCCCAGCAATATGCTCACTTTTAGGAGGGAACTGCCACGAATTTCACTTCCAGCTCTGAAAGGTAACCAGAGCTCTACCACATGCAAGCAAGGCTAGGCTCAGACAGTTTGGCTTTTACATGGACCAGTGTGAGCACAGGAAGAGTATGTATTCAAAGGTACTAAAAAAAAACAACAAAAACCAAAACCCCACAAACTACATGCTGGGGAATGTCCACATTTTATACCTGTAGGACACTAATTCACCCGTAGCACCATATGAACATTGAACTCAAGCATATAACATCACTAGAGTGACTCTTCTCAGAAGAATCACCCAGTACATCATAGAGCTATGCTTAAAAAGCAGATGATGATCAATCCAGCACTAGAGCACTCAAACACGCTAAACTAGGAAAACAATTTGGTACAGAAATATAAAAACCTATTGCACTACTGCAAGGATGAGTACAAGCTTCTGTTTACAGAACTGTAGGTACAATAATTTAAAACCAGGTAGTCAAATTAATCCCATCTATGACTACTTCAGGGTTTGGGGTTTTTTTTTTTTAAGCATTAGGAAAATACTAAAAGAGGCAAGCCCTTTAGCTAAGAGTAAACTAAGCTACAACGGAGTAACACTTGACAGTGAGAAGGCACATTGGATCTGGCATCTAAGCTGGTACTTAAGAAGCACTGCCTATATTAAATGCTAGTTAGAACAAACCTGCCTTTATAAAATGAAGGAATACAAAGCTGAACACTTTCTACATTTCATGCCCCCACAGAATATGATTAATATATATGGTAAGAGTCAAGTGTGGTTTCAGCGTTTATTTTGAAAATGTGTTTTACACCCACTTGAAGTAAATAATTTTTATCCTCTGTAATAGTTTCAGCCTTTCAAGTTTGGCAAAGATTGATCCTTTTCCCGTGTTTTGAATGGGACCGAAGTGAACAGAGCTGGTTTGCTTATTAGCAGTAACTTCAATGGAGCCTTGTCTTACCAAAACAGTCCATCTTTGTTTGTGCAGTACCATCAGCAATTGATACAAGTACAGCTTTAGAGGTAGCCTGTTAGGCTACCTGCTGCTGCAGACCCCGGAGGTGCTACAAAATGGAAAAAAAGGAGAAAAAAAAATCTCTTATAACATGGGTAAAAATAACTGGTTTTATTATTTTCCTTGATTTTTTTTTTATTTTGAAGAGCTTTATCCTTCAATATCAGCGTATCACAATGTCAACCCCCCAAGTTTTAAGAAGTCTTTGAATTTCAAAATACCACTGTGTATTAAGAACTTCAGAACTCTCATATACACAACAGCATGGTGTATTTTCACAGCATGAGGAACGACTCAGGTATGTCTAAAAGCAGCTGAGCTGCAGTATGGTGTTAAATGTCAGGCAGGATCCAGTCCTTATGCCCAGCTGTGCTTCACTTCTGTAAAGCATCTCAGGAGGGGCTAGCTCTGCTAACAATTCATGAGAAGAAAACAGGCTCTCCCTGATTTTCATCCTACAGAAAGGGAACATATAAACTATCAGGAGAGCAATACATACACCCCCCCCCCCCCCTTTGCC